TCTTTTTCAATAAAAATATTGGAATTTTTTTGGAGATTTGCACCAATTTGAATAAACATTTACTTTTCTCTAGCTCACTTTTATTGTAAGAATACAGTATACAATACATGTGTTAATCAATGGTTTGTTATTGGTAAGACTTCCTGTCAACAGTATGCATAGTCTGTGTCCTTGCAAGAACTGCAAAATGAAGTCTGTTCTTCAAAGTACAGCCAGTCCCTGATATGATCCTGCTGCGACTGCCAAAACAGACTGGATGGGACATACCGATCAGCTTCACCTCACATCAACCAATCTGGATGCAACATGCTTGCATCCCTCATTACCGGACCACCTTAGGAACCTGGGCAGAAGCTTTTACTACAAAAACAACCCCAGTTTCCTCTGAACGTACTTTTTGCTTCATAGCCAAGGGCTGTGCCTCCCCAGTTTGTTATTTTTTTAGCAATAAAGTTTTCCTTAATTTCCTGATTTACAGAGAGATTGGTTAACAGTTCCTTTTAATTGCTAATTCTATTGTATGCGCATGCCACAGTTTGTTTATCCATTCACCAGTTAAGAGACACCTGGGCTATTTCCAGTTGGGGGCTATGCTATATCGTATTAAACTGCTATGGACATGGTGTGCAACTCTTTGTACAAACGTATGTTTTAACTTTCTCTTAATAATCTGATATCTTCCCTTTTTCTTGGTTTATTGCTTCAATTGGGAGTTACATCTTCCTACTGCTTCCTGAGAAAGACTGTATAGTAAGTTTCTTTTTTCAGTTTTGCACATCTAAAAATGTCTTTATTCTACCCTCAAATTTTTTAAAACCATACTGAAATATAATTTTCATACCATAGTTTGCCTATTTTAAGTAAATGATTTTATTTTTTTAATGTATAGAATTGTGCAACCATTACATAATGCAATTTTAGATTATCTCCACCACCAAAAAGCTCCTTTGTGCCCATTTGCTGTCAACTCCCAGACAACCCCAGGCAAACACTGCTTTCTTCCTGTATTGATTTCCCTTTTCTAGGCATTTCGTGTAAATGGAATCATACAATATGTAGTCTTTTGTATCTTTCACTTTTAGTATAATATTTTTGCTGTTCATTCATGTGTGGCATGTATCAGGAATGCATTCCTTTTAATTGTTGAATAATATTCCATTGCATGGTTTTATCACATTTTGTTTATCCATTGAATAGTTGATGGACATCTAGATTGTTTCCAGTTTGGCTGTAATAGGTAATGCTGTTATGAACATTTGTACACAGGCTTTACACAGACATGTTTCTATTTCTCTTGGGTAGTACAAAGGTTGTACAATTGCTGGCTTAACTTTTAAAGAAACTAACAAACTGTTTTCCAAAGTGGCTCCTCTCTTTTACATTCCCGTGTGGGAGCATCTCAGTTTCTTTGCATCATTTCCAACACTTGCTATCATCTGTCTTTTTTATTATAGCTGCTCTGTAGTATGTAATGTATTTCACTGTGGTTTGTTCCAAATCCGGTGAGGCTTCTCTGCAAGTGAAACTGTTGGTTTGTGTGGCCTGCCCAGTCCTGCTACGTGCCCCTGCTGACTAAGCTGGGGAAAGTGAGCAGCCCTGGGCAAGAATGCCACAGACTCTCACTGTTCTCTCTCAGAGTTGAGCATTTTTCTCAATTTCTCCTTTGCCTCTGGGCAATTTCCAGAGCCCTACATTTTTAAATAAGTTTTTCTTCTCCAGTTTTATAACTATTTTCTGGGAAGACAATTTGCTGATCTCCTTATTCTGCCAGACAGTTACGTTCATTATACTCTTAAAGATTTTTTTCTCTATATACATTTTCTCTAAATGCTGCTTTTTTTTCTGTTTGCTTGCCTTGGTCTCTATGCTTTACATTGCAAGGGTTGTTTGCCTTGTCTGCATGTTAGAAATATCTGGAAAGTTTTTAAAATCCCAGTGCCCAAAGCTGTACCATTACTTCAGACTTTCTGGGGGAGGGCCCAGTCATTTGAGAATCCAAATAACTAACAAATCATTGAAAAATGGGAAGGTCAACAAATTTTAATGAAAAGAAAGAAAAGTCTACACCTGTGAAGAAAAAACCTCCATTTCTCCTGTGTTTCCTTAGCTCACACTACCATCACACTCATACTTCTGATACCAGCTGGTGGGGGTGGGGTGGGTTTCCATACCACTCCATTAGGTCACAGCTGCTGGATGTCCTACAATTTAACTCAATTCTGACACCATCTACCTGGAGATAGTGTCAGATCCCATGGGTAAAGGATTCAGTCCCACAAGACTGCCCCCAACTTCAGATGCTCATTGCAAATAGTAGGTCCCCAAGTTGCTCACAACTTCAGTCTGACTTGGTTACACATGGGAGGTTCCCATGATCTCCTCCCCTTGAGAAGAAGGAAGACTTCTTGCTTCTGGTAGAAGGCTGAGGGCTGGTTGATATACACCACGTGAGTGCTAGTTTTGGAAAGCCTAATTTGGAGCCAGTTTAATGATTTAAATGATAGCAGGTACCTGTGTTAAAAGGAATTCTTCACAACAAACTAGGCATGGGCTAATATTTCAAAATATTAATCAACCTCACCATCTCGGTTAAGTGCCTATCAGCATACACTCACTTGTGTCAGCTCTCATACAAATATAAACTATAATAAATTTATAAGTTACCTATAAAAGAAATTCAAATTATTTAAATAGGACAACAAAAAATGCTTTTCTGCTGAAGAAAAGTGCGATTTGCCCTATGATCTGATCCCAGTGCTCCAGGGCAGACATTCTGGAGGTCAGTGGGCATGTGCCCTGTGTTACCCGGTGATGAACATTTTCACTCCACTTTTCACTTTTCAGACGACTTTGAAATCCCTTCATCAGCGGGGCTCAGTGCTCCCAGGCCCGCCTCCTAGGAGCCTGCCTTTCTGCTTTGCCTCTACCACTGAAATCCAGATGCAGACTCCCAGGTTCTGTGGTGCACCCTGGTTGTGAGATGGTTATCTAGAGCAGATTTATGTTTATTAAAACAGAAAATGTATACGCTTTTCATAGAGCACTTGCAGATTCTAAAGAACATGCATGGAACTGATTTTCAGGCACAATGGCTTGGGAGCGACATGGGAAAGAGGGGCGGGAGCAATAGCAACCCCTAAGACCACCACCACAGCCCCCTGAAATGCTGCATCCCACATCACTGTGGCCACCACAAAGCCCAAGAGGAAGACTGAAGGAGGGGCTAAAGAAGAAAAAGCCCAAGAGAAGGATGAACCACAGAGGGGGTGGGCATCCTTTCCTGCTGAATCTACTCTTCTTGAAAAGCCACGTTGCAGACGGGGAGAATAAGCCATACACAGGAAATGGAGGTGCCGGATGAAGGGTGTGCATTTCTTGTAACTATATTCATCTCGTGGTACCATTTGAAATACCGTTTTTATCAAGTTTTATACAAATGCACAATTCTTTTCTTTATAAGTGATATTAGCACAGAGAATGCCTCATTGTTTCAGGGAAGGGCAAAGGTCACTAACAGAATATCCCAGAAGCCAGCTGAAATAGTCATGGCGGAAAACATTTTGCTTCCTTGGTTTTGGGAATGTTCCTCTTGGTTGCCAAGAGAAGGAATCCACTCACATTCACAGCCACCACGGTATTTGCCTGCGGTGCTGGGGAAACGAAACTTCATATTTAGGTCGCTTCCCCTTTCCTCTGTGCTATCACCATGTGGACTTCACGTCCTTAATTTCAGACCTGTGGGTACCTGGCCCTCCTTTCCTCATGGGCTCCAAATCTCCACTTCTCAGGTAAGACACTGAAACAAGTGTCCCTCAAAGGAACCAGGAACCACTGTTTTTTTTATCATGGATCTTTTAAATTCTGCAGTTTTCATTAAATTTCCTCACGATGAAGGTCTGCTTATGAAAGGAGTTAAAATGTTATGTGAGAATTTTTCCTCATCTCACTAATGTTTTCCTGTTCAAATCATCAAAGACTTGTTTGAGTTTTGTGGCTTTTCCCTTTTTGTAGTTTATAGAAATAAGGGAAATTGAAAGTTGCTGTATACCATGGTCACCCATGACCTGCCTGAAATATCAAGATTATTAATGAAAACTGGCTTTAATAACATAGGTACAATTTGGAGGAAGAGGCATAGAATGAATCACTGGCTTGGGTAATATATTCCTGGGCTCTGTTTCCATGTCCACCAGACAATCTTCTGAGGGCTGGTTTGAGCTCTCAAGTGTCCTGATGATAGGAAGAGAGAGTTTTGAATAATGAGCATTAAGATTTATTTGTGGAAAATGACATTCTAATTCTAAAATTAGAATGGAAATTCAATGATATGGAATCGAAATTAAACAGAAGTTCAAAAGACCTAGAAAGTCAAAGTAATATAAAAAGAATATTGTTGGAAGATTTACACTACCAGATATCAAGACTTACTATATATGACAATAATTAAGAAAATGTGTTGGTGCAAGAATAGACAGAACAATGGAAGAGAACGGAGTGCCCAGAAACAGCCATGAACACACAGTCACATAAGGAATGACAAAGACAGGACTGCCAACTAGGGGGGAAAGGCTTATCCTTTGTATAAATGGCACCTGGGCAACTTGACATTTACATGAAAAAATAATCAACTCTTACCTCACACTACAAACAAAAATTAACTAAAACTGGAGCACAGATCTAAATGGAAAGCTGAAGACATAAAACTTCTAGAAGAAAATAGAGGAGAAAATCTTGGTGACCTTTGGTTTGGCAAAGTGTTCTTTTTTTTTTTTTTTTAGGGCATTACTGNTCCTTTTTCAATCTGCTCTGTGCAGAAGTACAGTTTTCCACTTTGAGTCAAGAGTATTCTCACCAAAATCAAATACATTCAAAATCTGAACAAAGAATGATTTGTAGCTGTCAGTTTCAGAAATTCAAGAAGAGCTTTAACTATTCAAGAGAAACTGTTTTAGTATTTAATGTCTTAATCAACATCTATTGATTCAGAAGTTGAAAAGTATGTTCCATTAAATGTGCATATTTGAATTATTAAACAAACTTGGAACTATAATAAAATCCTCAATAATTGGTAAATCGAATTACAACCTGATGAATAATTAGTGATCAGTAACATGCCAAAATAATTTTGCAAATTTGTAAGTGCATCAAAATCTCTTTTAGTTTCATTGTCCTCAGAAACCCAGGAATGCCACTCAATGGTCATTTACTTGTCATCTTCATCAGACACCATTCTTTTTGACTTTGTATTACTTTTGTATTACTTTTTCCCTGATTACTTTTGTTTTACCAAAAAAGGAAATAAAGGTTTTTCTTGGAAACAAAATGAAGTCTAAGTTAATTCAATAACTACTGAAATTTCCCCTGAAACTTTAAACAGCTACAAATCCACAAAAGGAAAATATGGTAAATACATCAGCTTTAATATACAGCTAGTACACAATAAAAATTAGAAGAGCTATCTTGGGAAAGTGAATTCAAGTATAAAAACTGATTAATGTATGTTCACTAAAAGTCCTGCCATCAGCACTTTTATTTGGATTACTATATTCTTGAATATAAATACATAACAACATGCCCTTTCTTATCATGGGTAGTCTTTTATATAACTAAAATTTGTGGCCAACATTTTATATAACAAAGGAAGACTAAACTACATCTGTAAATTATCAGAAAAGGAATAAGGACATAGGGAAATAATACATTTTATATAAATTACAGAGGATAAATACAATGAAAATCCTCTTTAACTCAAGTTCTACAAAAGAAAGCCAACATGTATTATCCTGTGAACTGCTAAGAGTGCGTCAACACTGTGGCTGTTTTGAAAGACAGTGGCCAAGCACAAAAGGTTATCTTCATGTCATACACTGTTCTTAGTTCTTAACTGGAGTTGAGCTTCCTTTCATGGTCTTCTTTAGGTGGTGGTATTTTGGCAAAATATTCATCAGGAAATCCAGCTGTAATGTCTGGGGCTGTGGTTGCTCAGACTGTACTCGACGAAGACAGTCTGTGCCGTAGACGACTGTGTTCTCAGGGATGACTTCATAGGTGTTTAGGTTGCAGCATGCCCCAACGATGCAGCCACTTGTCAGGATCACATTTCTGCCCACATACGCTTTTGATTCAATAACATTATTATCTCCCATTTTCATGGCTTGGGAATAACAGCCAACTTCAAACACATTATTGGTGCCAATGATCATGGGTTTGGGTTCTGGATCTTCAGTATCAGGGGTGATATTATCAGGGTGAATCAGAGTAAAGTTCGTGAATCCAGGAATGAGCAGTAATCTCTCAGCCAGAACCAATAAATCCAACCAGATCAGCCCAGCACGTGGACACTGGAGGTCCTCAGGGACGCTTGTGCAGGACAGGAGAGGCAGCAATCTAGCTGGTCTTTGGTTTCCTCGTTTACTGAGCACTTGTGCTAAAAAAGATCCTTCATGTTTCTCTAGTTCTCAGGTATTGAGCTTTCCAGACGTCACTCGTAAAACATTCCTAGATAGCTGACATTAAGGAAAGCAGTATCTGCAGCACTTGGTTCGGAGGATCTGTCAGTCTTACTCACGCATTTATGATAAGCGCCTGTTCTTCTATTAGGTTCCCTTCACCAATCACTATCGGTCCAGCTTCCGCAATAATTCGAGCTTTTGGGTGGATCACTGTCCTGGGTCCTGAGGTTCTGCCTCCAGCTGCAAAGCCACAGGAGCAGGAAGGGGCCCGTGGCATCTGCCTCACAAGCAGAGACACTGGTTCCTCAGTGCTGACTCTCCTCCCAAAGACCTAGCCCTATAGTTACATCACCCCTGATTTCACTTTCTACACACACAACGGCTCCAGGAGCAATCTTCACACTTTTTTGCGTCTTCTCCGCCATGGTTTGGCCCGTCTTGGATTGGAGCCGAGATCGACACAACAGCCTGGGCAGGGCGATCCAAAGTGTTCTTAAATATGACAAAAAAGCATCAATTACAAAAGAAAAATTGGATCAATATGACTTATCAAAATTTAAAACTTTAAAAGGCAAGCCACAGACTGGGAGAATGTAAAACATATCCGACAAAAGATTTCTATCCAGCATTAAAGAACTCCTTATATTCAGTAAGACAAACAATCCAGTAAAAAAAAAAAGGAAAAAGATTTGGACAACCCCACCGAAGACAGTAAAACATGAGCCCATGAAAAGACACTCAACATCATAAGCCATTAGAGAAATGAAATCAAAACGACAATTTAGACCCACTCACTAAAATGGCTAAAACAAAAGGTTTACTGTACAAGTGCTGGCATGTGGAGGAACAGAAACTCTTTCACTGCTGGTGGGGATTCGGTACAACCATTTTGGAAAAAGTTTGGTAGCTTCATAAAGAGGAAAATATGCTCATACCACATGAGCCAGCCATTCCTCTCCAAGGTATTCATTCTAGAAATGAAACAAAAGCTTATGGCCACTCAAGACTTTATGCAGATGTTCATTGCAGCTTTATTTGTCATAGCCCCCAAACTGGAAACAACCTAAATTTCATCAACAGGTGATGGGAAAACAAACTGTGATCTTTCCATACAATGGACTACCACTCATCAATAAGAAGGAATGAATTGTTTATAAGTATGATAACATGATGAGTCTCAAAATAAATGCTGCAAGAAGCTACTGCAAAAACAAGTACATACTAAATAATTCCATGTATATAAAATTCTAGAAAATGTAAACTAATCTAGAGTGATAGGATCAGAGAAGCTTCTGAAGATAATGGATATCTCCATCATGATTTTGGTGATTTCACATGTCAAATTATCAAAATATACCAAGCTGTTCATTATAAATATATGTCCTTTATTGTTACTTATATCTCAACAAAACTGTTCAGCACCAAAGAAGAAATTTAGATGGCCAACAGACACATGAAAAGATGCCCCACATTGCTAATCATAAGGGAAATGCAAATTAAAACCACAATGAGACATCTCCCACCAATTAGGATGGCCACTATCCTAAAGACAAGAAAAAACAAATGCTGGTGAGAGTGCGGAGAAATGGGAACCCTCCTGCATTGTTGGTGGGACTGCAAATTGGTGCAACCACTGTGAAAAGTAGTATGGAAGTTCTTCAAAACACTAAAAATAGAAATACCATTTGACCCAGGACCTCCACTCCTAGGAATTTTACCCAAAGAAAACAAAATCAATGATTCAAAAAGATACATGCATGCCAATATATATTTTTTTCATTTTTTATTATTTTTATTTTGGTATCATTAATATACAATTACATGAGCAACATTGTGGTTACTAGATTCCCCACCACATACCCCATTACAGTTACTGTCCACCAGTGCAGTAAGATGTTATAGAATCACTACTTGTCTTCTCTGTGCTATACTGCCTTCTCTGTGCCCCACCAATACATTATGTGTGTTAATCGTAAGCCCCTTATTCCCCTTCTCCCTCCCTCTGCACCCCATCCCCAGTCCCTTTCCCTTTGGCAACTGTTAGTCCATTCTTGGGTTCTGTGAGTCTGTTCATGCACCTCTATACTTATTGTCGTACTATTTACAACAGCCAAGATATGTAAGCAACCTAAGTGTCCATCAGTAGATGAATGGATAAAGAAGATGTGGTACATATACACAATGGAATATCATTCAGCCATAAAAAGAAAAGAAATCCTGCCATTTGCAACAACATGGATGGATCTAGAGGGTATTATGCTCAGTGAAATAAGTACCGGAGAAAGACAAGTACCAAATGATTTCACTCATCTGTGGAGTGTAACAACAAAAGCAAAAACTGAAGGAACAATACAGAAGCAGACTCACAGAACCGAAGAATGGACTAACAGTTACCAAAGGGAAAGGGACTGGGAAGGATGGGTGGGAAGGGAGAGATAAGGGGATTAAGGGGCACTATGATTAGCACACATAATGTGGGGGTCACAGGGAAGGCAGTATAGCACAGAGAAGACAAATAGTGACTCTATAGCATCTTACTATGCTGATGGACAGTGACTGTAATGGGGTATGGAGACTTCAAAATGGGGGGAATGTAGCAACCACATGTTGCTCATGTGACTGTATATCAAGGATACCATAATAAAAAGAAAAAAAGAAAAAAGAAATGTACAGGCAAGAAAAAAAAATGTTCAAGAAAAAAGTTTCCCAGGAGGTGGTGTTGCCATGTGGCTCTGCCCCAGCATATGGTACCCCTTTGTAGGGCCATGCAGGAGTCTGGTTAACTGGGAGAACCAAGAAGAGGCACTTGGGGTCAAGAATGCCAAATAGAGGTGATGACAACTGGGTGTGCTGTGAGGGGAGGATTGACTTAATTTCCTTCCACTGTCTCAATACATGGTGCTTGTCCATCGCTCAAGCCCGGCTCCTTCCTGCCTTGAGCCCCGTCTGCATGTAGCTACGGTCTCATCATTCAGGCCCTAGCATGAACATCAAGTACTGTCACTGAGCACTGTCTAAATTTGATTCTACCCTTCCATCTGTCCTAAAATCTCTTTCTCTATTTTATTTTCTTCATTGAAGGTTATCACGATCAAATTCTTCTTTCTTTCCTTTCATTGTTATTATCTATTCTTCTCCTCTGTCCTCCATGCAGTTGGGGCCCCACGGATCCCTTTTACTGGTGGTGCATGTACCCCATAGATGCTTTAAGTGTTGGTTGACAACTTGAAGCTGCCCCTGCCAATAACTGACTGAAATAAGGGGTGGGAGGAGGAGGGGAGGGTACCAAAGGGTGCTGCCCTGTGATAAGGAGTCCTATCTCAGTGGTGCAATGTATGCAGTGGGACCAAGCTGAAGCTAGTCACCACTTGAAGCCACACTAGCTTATGTTAGCTTTTTCTTCACCCTGTCCTGCCTCCCTCACTCCTTTCTCCTGAGAGCACTTCCCCAGTAAGTCACTCAAATGAGAATTCTCATCTCAGACTGCTTTCAGGGAACCTGACCCATGGCACCCTAGGTAAGCTTCATGGAGGACTATCTTGTTTCACTCCCCTAGAACAAATTCCTATTTGGGGCTCTGCTTATGACAATCTGCCACCCCAGAAAAATAGCTTCATGAGGGAGAATCTTCTTCACTTTCCTAGAACAATGTCAGGAGCACAGGAGGCACTCAATAAATGAGCTGAATGAATACAGGGGAGAGCCCAGGGTCTATCTTATAGGTAGGCTGTCAGCCCCCTTCTGTGCTGGGCTGGCCTGGCTTGGAGGCATTGTGAGTCATAGCTGGTGGACAGCAGATGAGTGGTTCAGAGATGGGGCAAGGCCTAGGGCAGCTGCTCAGCACCTCCCACCCGTCCTTCAGGTAAGGCATAACGGGCAGCAGGGATTACTGTGGGGACGGGTCCTCCGGGAAGGTGCGACCTCAAGGGTGGGCCTCGTTTCATCTCTTGGTTCCTCCAGGGGTTTTCAGAGACACCTTCCTGTGCCAGATCTAGGGGTTAGTACTATCTACCCCAGCCCCACTACATGTGAGGATAAGTATGTTCATTAATTAAGGCATGATAGTTTTCTCTTTTCACCTTTTGTGCAGAGTGGAGGAATTTAAAAGAGAACACACAGTGCTCTTCTCACACAATAGAATCAGCTCTTGTGGGGGGTAATGGGATTTGTCTGTTATCTGGACTTCAGCTTCCTTGAGGATGTAGTCTGCTTGGGACAAAAATGTATAATCTGCACAAAGCTGTTACCTCCACCCTAAGCATTGATCCTAGTCCATGGCACATGCCCCCAGGATGTCACTGAGCACGCTGCACTGTGATTCGCATACACACCTGGCTTCCCAGCTGGACCAGTAGTATGTTGAGGGCAGGCACAGGCTGTGCTGGGATCCTCTGCCCAGACCAGGACCTGGCACAGAGCAGGTGCCAGTACCAGGTTGTAAAAGAACTGAATGATGAGCGTGGCAATGCAGTTGGTTATGCTAAATATCCTACCAAATACTTTTCAGGTCCAGACCTAGCCCTGGCTTTGTAATCCTTCAGCAGTGCCTTTGTACCCACAGTCAGGTCTATGTCCCAGTCTAGCTCATTCTATTCCCAGCTGAGTACCCTACACCAACCTCACCCAAACTCTTCCTCCCATCTGCAACATGCAAGCTTTGCCTGGCTCTTCACTCCGCCTAGAGGTTCTCCCTAACCCACCCTCAATTCACGTAGCAGTCTTGCACACCTTTTAAGTACCGGCCATCATTCCCTCCTGCCCGCCCATAACCCCTCCCAGCAACCGCCCAGAACTCGACCCAGAACTCCAAGAGCAGGGGTGTGGTCCTTCATCTGCATATCTGTCCTCAGGGCTTGACACACAGGGGCTCTTGGAGAAGGTTGTTTCAGACCCCTGCTAGTGCGAGAGTGCAGGGATGGGCTCAGTGGCAGCAGCGGGTTAGCCCGGAGCGCCAGCCACAGGGTCAAGCCCTGGCCACCCGGGCTCGCCGTGTGCGGGGGCAGCCTGCCGGAGCAGGCTGCTTACCCGGATTCTTGCTCCTCAGCAGCGCCCCTGGCTCGCCTTCATCATTCAGGACACTGGGGCTCGGAAGGCAAGGGCGCAGACCCGGTCGCCCGCGTCCTGGTAGCTCCTCTCCGGGCACCGGTGCGCAGGACGAGGCCCGTCTGCCCCTCGCCCTGGACACCTTTGGGCGCAAGGCCTCGGGCCTGGCCAACCGCTTGCGGGGGCAGTTGCGGCAGTTCTGGGCCGACCACTTTTCACGGCGCTTCTCGCCGAGGCGCCCGCAGCTGCGCCGCATGTCCTCCATGTCCACCTTCTACCTGCTGGACCACCGGACGAGCCAGACCGAGCTGGGCCTCAACTACGGCGCGCCGCGCACGCGCCTCAGCAACGAGGCTTTCGTGTTCCGCGGCGGCCAGTAGACGGCCGAGGGCCCGCCGGTGCGGTCGCGGCGGCCGCGGTCCTCATCGACCATCTAGGACTGGAAGGCGCAGGTGCGGCGGGCCAAGAGCCATGTGCTGCTGGAGAAGAACAACTACCTGAAGCTGCAACAGGAACTGCTCATGGACATGCTCACTGAGACCACCGCGCGCCTGCACCTGAGGGGCAGCAGGCCGGACAACCAGGCCAGCCCGGCGGCCGCAGAGCGCTTGGCAGGGGAAGATGGGCAAGTGCGAAGGTGCGAGCTGCGGGCTCCCACTGGAGCCGCGCGCTCTGGAGTCGCGGTGACGCAATAAAGCCCGTGCGGCGCACGCGCGCCTCGCTCCTCTCCGGCGTCCCGGCGCGTTCGTGGCGCCCCGCAGGGGCCGGCCGTAGCTAGGCTCCAGCAGCTTTGGGGCGCGCCGAGTGCCGGCAGCCGGTCACGGGAGGCTGGATAGGGTGGTGGAGGAAGGGGTGTGCGCCGCCCCTTGGAAACGTGGAGTGGGAGCCGCCAGGCTTGCAACCCGCAGTGCCCGGGGGGCGGGGATAGCAGGAGGTGGCAGGCTGTGACATTCTTGGCTCGGGGGACGAAGTCCTGGAGGCAGTGAAACCTTGGGTGCAGTGCGGTGGGCAGGGAAGGGCGGATCTGTTCATGCACCTCTATACTTATTGTCGTACTATTTACAACAGCCAAGATATGTAAGCAACCTAAGTGTCCATCAGTAGATGAATGGATAAAGAAGATGTGGTACATATACACAATGGAATATCATTCAGCCATAAAAAGAAAAGAAATCCTGCCATTTGCAACAACATGGATGGATCTAGAGGGTATTATGCTCAGTGAAATAAGTACCGGAGAAAGACAAGTACCAAATGATTTCACTCATCTGTGGAGTGTAACAACAAAAGCAAAAACTGAAGGAACAATACAGAAGCAGACTCACAGAACCGAAGAATGGACTAACAGTTACCAAAGGGAAAGGGACTGGGAAGGATGGGTGGGAAGGGAGAGATAAGGGGATTAAGGGGCACTATGATTAGCACACATAATGTGGGGGTCACAGGGAAGGCAGTATAGCACAGAGAAGACAAATAGTGACTCTATAGCATCTTACTATGCTGATGGACAGTGACTGTAATGGGGTATGGAGACTTCAAAATGGGGGGAATGTAGCAACCACATGTTGCTCATGTGACTGTATATCAAGGATACCATAATAAAAAGAAAAAAAGAAAAAAGAAATGTACAGGCAAGAAAAAAAAATGTTCAAGAAAAAAGTTTCCCAGGAGGTGGTGTTGCCATGTGGCTCTGCCCCAGCATATGGTACCCCTTTGTAGGGCCATGCAGGAGTCTGGTTAACTGGGAGAACCAAGAAGAGGCACTTGGGGTCAAGAATGCCAAATAGAGGTGATGACAACTGGGTGTGCTGTGAGGGGAGGATTGACTTAATTTCCTTCCACTGTCTCAATACATGGTGCTTGTCCATCGCTCAAGCCCGGCTCCTTCCTGCCTTGAGCCCCGTCTGCATGTAGCTACGGTCTCATCATTCAGGCCCTAGCATGAACATCAAGTACTGTCACTGAGCACTGTCTAAATTTGATTCTACCCTTCCATCTGTCCTAAAATCTCTTTCTCTATTTTATTTTCTTCATTGAAGGTTATCACGATCAAATTCTTCTTTCTTTCCTTTCATTGTTATTATCTATTCTTCTCCTCTGTCCTCCATGCAGTTGGGGCCCCACGGATCCCTTTTACTGGTGGTGCATGTACCCCATAGATGCTTTAAGTGTTGGTTGACAACTTGAAGCTGCCCCTGCCAATAACTGACTGAAATAAGGGGTGGGAGGAGGAGGGGAGGGTACCAAAGGGTGCTGCCCTGTGATAAGGAGTCCTATCTCAGTGGTGCAATGTATGCAGTGGGACCAAGCTGAAGCTAGTCACCACTTGAAGCCACACTAGCTTATGTTAGCTTTTTCTTCACCCTGTCCTGCCTCCCTCACTCCTTTCTCCTGAGAGCACTTCCCCAGTAAGTCACTCAAATGAGAATTCTCATCTCAGACTGCTTTCAGGGAACCTGACCCATGGCACCCTAGGTAAGCTTCATGGAGGACTATCTTGTTTCACTCCCCTAGAACAAATTCCTATTTGGGGCTCTGCTTATGACAATCTGCCACCCCAGAAAAATAGCTTCATGAGGGAGAATCTTCTTCACTTTCCTAGAACAATGTCAGGAGCACAGGAGGCACTCAATAAATGAGCTGAATGAATACAGGGGAGAGCCCAGGGTCTATCTTATAGGTAGGCTGTCAGCCCCCTTCTGTGCTGGGCTGGCCTGGCTTGGAGGCATTGTGAGTCATAGCTGGTGGACAGCAGATGAGTGGTTCAGAGATGGGGCAAGGCCTAGGGCAGCTGCTCAGCACCTCCCACCCGTCCTTCAGGTAAGGCATAACGGGCAGCAGGGATTACTGTGGGGACGGGTCCTCCGGGAAGGTGCGACCTCAAGGGTGGGCCTCGTTTCATCTCTTGGTTCCTCCAGGGGTTTTCAGAGACACCTTCCTGTGCCAGATCTAGGGGTTAGTACTATCTACCCCAGCCCCACTACATGTGAGGATAAGTATGTTCATTAATTAAGGCATGATAGTTTTCTCTTTTCACCTTTTGTGCAGAGTGGAGGAATTTAAAAGAGAACACACAGTGCTCTTCTCACACAATAGAATCAGCTCTTGTGGGGGGTAATGGGATTTGTCTGTTATCTGGACTTCAGCTTCCTTGAGGATGTAGTCTGCTTGGGACAAAAATGTATAATCTGCACAAAGCTGTTACCTCCACCCTAAGCATTGATCCTAGTCCATGGCACATGCCCCCAGGATGTCACTGAGCACGCTGCACTGTGATTCGCATACACACCTGGCTTCCCAGCTGGACCAGTAGTATGTTGAGGGCAGGCACAGGCTGTGCTGGGATCCTCTGCCCAGACCAGGACCTGGCACAGAGCAGGTGCCAGTACCAGGTTGTAAAAGAACTGAATGATGAGCGTGGCAATGCAGTTGGTTATGCTAAATATCCTACCAAATACTTTTCAGGTCCAGACCTAGCCCTGGCTTTGTAATCCTTCAGCAGTGCCTTTGTACCCACAGTCAGGTCTATGTCCCAGTCTAGCTCATTCTATTCCCAGCTGAGTACCCTACACCAACCTCACCCAAACTCTTCCTCCCATCTGCAACATGCAAGCTTTGCCTGGCTCTTCACTCCGCCTAGAGGTTCTCCCTAACCCACCCTCAATTCACGTAGCAGTCTTGCACACCTTTTAAGTACCGGCCATCATTCCCTCCTGCCCGCCCATAACCCCTCCCAGCAACCGCCCAGAACTCGACCCAGAACTCCAAGAGCAGGGGTGTGGTCCTTCATCTGCATATCTGTCCTCAGGGCTTGACACACAGGGGCTCTTGGAGAAGGTTGTTTCAGACCCCTGCTAGTGCGAGAGTGCAGGGATGGGCTCAGTGGCAGCAGCGGGTTAGCCCGGAGCGCCAGCCACAGGGTCAAGCCCTGGCCACCCGGGCTCGCCGTGTGCGGGGGCAGCCTGCCGGAGCAGGCTGCTTACCCGGATTCTTGCTCCTCAGCAGCGCCCCTGGCTCGCCTTCATCATTCAGGACACTGGGGCTCGGAAGGCAAGGGCGCAGACCCGGTCGCCCGCGTCCTGGTAGCTCCTCTCCGGGCACCGGTGCGCAGGACGAGGCCCGTCTGCCCCTCGCCCTGGACACCTTTGGGCGCAAGGCCTCGGGCCTGGCCAACCGCTTGCGGGGGCAGTTGCGGCAGTTCTGGGCCGACCACTTTTCACGGCGCTTCTCGCCGAGGCGCCCGCAGCTGCGCCGCATGTCCTCCATGTCCACCTTCTACCTGCTGGACCACCGGACGAGCCAGACCGAGCTGGGCCTCAACTACGGCGCGCCGCGCACGCGCCTCAGCAACGAGGCTTTCGTGTTCCGCGGCGGCCAGTAGACGGCCGAGGGCCCGCCGGTGCGGTCGCGGCGGCCGCGGTCCTCATCGACCATCTAGGACTGGAAGGCGCAGGTGCGGCGGGCCAAGAGCCATGTGCTGCTGGAGAAGAACAACTACCTGAAGCTGCAACAGGAACTGCTCATGGACATGCTCACTGAGACCACCGCGCGCCTGCACCTGAGGGGCAGCAGGCCGGACAACCAGGCCAGCCCGGCGGCCGCAGAGCGCTTGGCAGGGGAAGATGGGCAAGTGCGAAGGTGCGAGCTGCGGGCTCCCACTGGAGCCGCGCGCTCTGGAGTCGCGGTGACGCAATAAAGCCCGTGCGGCGCACGCGCGCCTCGCTCCTCTCCGGCGTCCCGGCGCGTTCGTGGCGCCCCGCAGGGGCCGGCCGTAGCTAGGCTCCAGCAGCTTTGGGGCGCGCCGAGTGCCGGCAGCCGGTCACGGGAGGCTGGATAGGGTGGTGGAGGAAGGGGTGTGCGCCGCCCCTTGGAAACGTGGAGTGGGAGCCGCCAGGCTTGCAACCCGCAGTGCCCGGGGGGCGGGGATAGCAGGAGGTGGCAGGCTGTGACATTCTTGGCTCGGGGGACGAAGTCCTGGAGGCAGTGAAACCTTGGGTGCAGTGCGGTGGGCAGGGAAGGGCGGAACTGCGACCTTGTTCTTGGCCCACCTGGCCTCGAGGCGCGTTCCTGGAGGGGTTTCAGCCTGGGTGGAGGGTAAGTGTATTTTATGATCTGGGGGTTTCCTGAGAGAAGCTTTCTGGAACCGTTGGGCTCTGCCTTTCCCACCTGGCTGTGCGGCTTTTGGCGACGCTCTTTTACAGGCCTCATTCTCTCCAGAGGATGAGGGGTCAGACCTAGGTACAAACAACTGCTCTGTGTACCCGGATAGGATTTGCTTGACCCATTTAAAATTTGTTGCCAACGTTTAAGAATACAGAGAGTGCGCACTGCGGGTGTTCTCTTGAAGACTTGGCCACCCTGGACCATCACTGTGCCCATGCCCAGCAGCAGTTCCTTGATCTGAATTGTGGCTGTCACCTCCTGGTCATCTCGGTCCCTTCCTCCTGTAGGTGTCTAATTTGGATCTTGTTCCAGATCGGTGTTCTTCCCTTGGGCATGGGCAGAGCCTGCTCACCTACACGCAGGGTACTTTGTAAAGGTCTGGACAGAGTGTTTTTTGTCGGTGAGTGAATTTGCTACACCACAAGGGTGATGGTTCAGGTCCTTTCAATCTGCGAATTTTCCCTTGGAATGTAGATGGGCCATTTTGGCATCTGCCCCAAACTGGAATCCTTAGACCTGTGACCCATTTCCCAAGGGCCATGTGAACCTTTGAGGAAGTGGATGCTCTGCTTCAGCCTAACTTGCTTTCACAAGTAGACTAGGGATTACTAAACTGGTACTTCGGATATAAATGTAGCCTTGTTTATTAAAGCAGCGAAGCAATACAAATATGTCATTAAACACTCTGGTGAAGAATACTTTTGGGTGGGCTGACCCGGCAGCAGTGATGGCGGGAGCCGAGGAGGAGGCTTCAGATGTTGCTCGTTCCCGGGACACCGTGTGCCTTTGCCCTGAGCGCTCAGCCACAGAGGCGTCTTGGCTGAGTATGGGAGCCTCCTCCAGGACCTGATCCCTTAAAGAGCTAGAACAGCTCAGATCGGCCTGCAAGGAGGACATCCCTTCCTGGAGGGCAACAAGCTGAACTAAGACAGCCTTTCCTACACTGAGCACATCTGTGAGATCTGCAGCCCTGACCTACTCCCTATAAGTTAAATTCCAACTGAAATAAGCAGGCGAACAGAGGCAACAAAGGGCCAGGTAGTTTATTTGAGCGCAGTTCCCCGGGGCGATGTTTCCCAGTCTACAGAAATAGAGGCTGGGGAAGTCAGGCGTAAGTAGACACGCAGCTAGTTTTTAAAGAAGGTAGGAGGAGGCAGAACTTAGATTTACAGTGGCGTGAGGATTGGCTAGCCCAAGGCACATTTTTCAGTTTGGGGGGGGGCAACAGCCAGGGACTTTGGCATGTCATCAGTGTCCGACATGGGAGAGGGCAGCAGCCGGGACTTTGGCACGTCATCGGTGTCGGACATGCTCACTCCTCCCTCCAGTGCCTCCAGCCTTACATTCCAGCCTTTTGGTTATAATGGATGCCAACTCAATCTGGCTACTTCCGGCTGAGAGGGGGGTGATGTGGGGGGTTTTAAGGCTGGTTGACGGCTGGATGCTCAGTCAGGAGGGGTGAGCACTTGTGCAGCAACAGTTGATTGACCTTTATGTGTGATATTTCTGCCATGCGCTGTTTGAAGGAACTTGAAAACACATGGAGCAATCAAGAGTAAACTGTGCCCTGTGGGGAGGCTTGGTAACTATCATATAGCTTGCCCTGTGCTCCTTTCTCCCAGCGTTGATCTCATGGGTCACTAATGGTAATGTATAGCCTATCCTGTATTCTTGTGAACATGTTGTCAGAGACTCCTCTTGTTGTATCCCCTACCGCATGAACTCTACATGTGTCTAATTCAGGATGACATCCCCCATACATGTCGGACTGGAAAGTACATGTATGAGAGATTTGGTCATACAGAAAGCACAGAGTTGGGTTTGAGAAAGTGTTTAAGATGTCTGTGTGTACCAGTACAACCCACACGTGGGTAACTTTGGGTGCCCACTTCTTGGGCTTCGGCTCTGTGAGGAAGAGCTAGTTGGAGCTTAAGCTTCCATGCAGAGTAGCTCTGCCTGGAGACCACAGGGCTATTCATCTGGCTGGTTGCACTTGACATGACTAACCCGCAGCTTAAGAGGACCCACCTCACAAGACGCCCAATCATCATGTCTGGGCACCTGTTTGAGCCTGGACAAGTGATACCAAGAAGGATGCCCGAGCAGTTTAGTTGCCGAGGGCGTAGTGAGTATCACCGTGTATTGGCCGGTCCAGTGAGGTTGGAGAGATTTTGGTTGGAGTTCTTTTAACAAGACCTGATCTCCTGGTTGGAGGACTTCAGCAGGTTTTGAGCTGGAAAGTGAGGCAGGCTGAGGTAGGACCTGGTCTGCGTGCTCCCTGAGGAAGTGTCGCAACAGCGAGAAGTATGGGAGATACTAGTGGGGATGGATCAGAAGGCAAATCAGTGTTAAACAAAAGGGTCTACCATACATCAATTCAAATGCACTCAACCCGGAGGGCCCCTGGGGGGCTGCATGCAGTCGGACAAGGGCAACAGGGAGGTCAGGCCATGAGAGTTTTACCTCCAGAGACAGCTTAGTTAGTTGGTCCTTTAGAAGACCATTAGCCCTTTCGACCTTACTGGATGACTGGGGATGATAGGGTATATGGAGGTTCCAGGTGATATTGAGAGCCTTGGTTGTTAGCTGAGTGACCCGAGAGATGAAGGCAGGCCCGTTGTCTTACTGTAGTGAGGTAGGCAGGCCAAAACAGGGGATGATATGTGCCACCAATGTCTGTGCCACTACCGAAGCAGTTTCCTGGCTGGTGGGGAAGGCTTCAATCTACCCTGAAAAGTATCAACCAGAACTAGTAAATACTGGAGCTTTTTATGCTTAGGTATATGGGTGAAATTAACCTGCCAGTCCTGTCCGGCGATTGTTCCTCTCATCTGGTGGAGGGCTATCCGGGTCTTCAGAGCACCCTGAGACGAGACGCATTGACAAGTAGTCAGGTCTGGTGCACCTGATCTATTGCCTTGCGGAGACCATAAGGGGCAAATATGGGGGAGATAAACTGGTGCATGGCCTCCGGCCCAATGTGTAGAAACTGATGAATTTTGGATATGCTATCTCTGCCTTGAGCTTGGGGGAGGGCAATTCATCCTCCGAGGTATATCCATCCCTGATCTCCCAACGTCCCCCCTTGATGTAGAAGCAGTCGCCGTTCATCATCGGGGTATTGGGGCAATAGAGAGGGGGAAAGAAACAGCACAGAGGGTTGGCTAGACTCAGATGTCAGCTGTTGGGCTGTGGCGTCTACCAAAGTATTACCTCTGGTTACTGGATTGTTTCCAGTCTGATGTCCCTTACAATGCATGATGGCCACTTCTCTGGGATCCTGTAGGGCCTGTAGCAGATGGCTGATAGCTCTGCTGTTGATGATTGGGGTTCCCTTAGTGGTAAGGAAGCCCCTTTCCTTCCAAATCACAGCATGAGTGTGTGTAATTAGGAAGGCATATTTAGAGTCAGTATAAACTGTGGCCCTCTTCCCGGCTACCAGCTGTAATGTCCAGGTAAGAGCCACTAATTCGTTTTTTTGGGAGGTGGTCCCAGATGGGAGTAGGTTTGCTTCTATTACCTGTGACAGAGTCACCACTGCATAGGCTGCCCTTCGCACCCCATCACTCCCCTTCACCGAGCTTCCGTCCATGAAAAAAGTCAAGTCAGGGTCTTTGAGGGGCACGTCTTGTAGGCCCTCTCTAGGTTTTCCAAGAGCCTCTACAATCTCTACACAGGAATGAGTGGGCTGATCTGCCTGATTGCTGACAGGAAGCAAGGAAGCTAGGTTAAGGGGTAGAGAGACTTGTAGGGTTACCTGTGGATGTTCAATGAACAGAAGATGGAATTCCTGTACCTTTGAAGGACTCAAGGAGGCCAGGGACTTATGACTTAAAAGATCTTGTAACTGGTGTGAGGAATACACAGTAATGGGCTGTTGGAGCATTACTTTCAGGGCTTCTCAGGTCAGACTTCCTGCAGCTGCCAGGGCTCAGAAGCAAGGCTGCCACCCCCTAGTGGTGGTATCCAACTGTTAGGAGAGAAAGGAAATGGGACGGTACCCCGGCCCCACTGACTGTACCAGCACTCCGGTTGCCACCCCTGCCCTCTCTGCTGTATATAGGGTGAAGGGCTTAGTTAAGTTGGGGAGCATTAACGGAGGGGATGAGAGCAATGCATCCCTCAACTGATTGAAAGCAGAAGCCACCTCGGTGGGTGCAGTTAGCAGCCCAGTAGGAGTCTCTGTGGCAGCTGCATAAAGTGGTCTTGCCAGAAGGGCAAAGTTAGGCACCCAGTGTCTGAAAAACCCTACCAGTCCTAGAAAGGATAGTATCTCAGCTCCTGAAGTCGGTGGCAAGAGAGCTTTAATCGCAGCCACTCGGCCTGTCATTAGGGCTTTAGTGGTGGGAGTTAGAGTTGGCCCGAGGTATGTAACTTGGGGTAGAGACAGCTGTGTTTTGGCCAGGGATACCCTGTACCCCAGGTCTGCCAGGAAATTAAGAAGAGATGTGGTGTCCAGAACTGAGGCCTCCTTCGAGGGGCTGCAAAGTAAAAGATTATCCACGTATTGGAGGAGAGTACTCTCACCCATTGAATGTC